GGGGTTAGTAGAGCGTGCAAAGCTTAGCATTGGAACCGAAGGGGCTTCGTGGGCGTTTCAACCGTGCAAAATGTGCCCAAGGGGATCCACGATTTTGTCAAATTTTCAAATAGATCGAAACAGGAGTTTTTCTGGTTTGACGGCTTGTTGCTTGTGGTGTTATGATGTGACAGTGACTTGGCAATACATGTATCCGGCAGTTCTGAGAGCAATATCTGCTATTTGGTTAAAGCGAATACGACGATAAGAAGTGAATGATCTTTCCTGATTCGAATCTACACCGCCATCCATTTGTTCCGGGCAACAGGTGGAGAAATGTTGGCCGATAACATCTATAACAGCCGCACGAAGGCGCTTCTTTAATCGCCCGTTTGCTACAAAACACCGCCATGAATATAAAAAAGTTCAAGTTTCAAAATTTATATTTTAAATATAACAAGTTAAAATTTGAAACCGTTATATTTTCAATTCTATTTTTACATACGGCTTGTTACAAAATATTGTGTAAACAGTATTGTAACAGCAACGATTTTGTGTTATACTTTCACTGTCTGTTTATAAATCATAGTTTTTTTTACAGGATGTGAGTTACAAAAGCCAAATTTAGTTGAAGATGAATGTAAGTTCGATACATCTCTCATGGTTAAAAATAAGTAATCAAATAAAAAATAAGTCAATAAATTATGATAACTTAAAAGAAAGAATTCAAAATAAAAAGTTCCATTAAAATGAAGTATTTTTTATGGACAAGTTTTGCACAATATGGACAGGTTTTGCAAGATAACAGCAATATTTAATCTATCAAAAAGTAATAATAATAATAATAAAGTGGGAAGTTTATGGTCCGGCAAACAGCTGAGGTCATCGCCGGCCCTCTGCGTCTTTTCCTTAGTTTTCTCTTCTTTCGCGCATATTTTGTTTTAAACTGCAGCCATTTGAGCGTCTCGATCTAGTTACGGACTATCTGATTCAAATATATACTACGTTGATATCTTGGAATGCTAGTCTCTCGTTTGTACCTCAGGTTGTCTAATACAGTATAGAAACAAAACATACAATTTTATACATCATCACACGATATAAACAGAAATCTGGTCACATTCACTCCTCCAGAATACTCGATATTCCTCGGGGCGCGGTTATAAGTAACCCCTTCCTTTCACGCTAATAAATTACTTTTCCTCTCCAGACGTCATCACCTTAGAACAATATTTGGTTCATATAAGGATTCGAGGTAAACAAAACACTCACCCCAGAGTATTCGATATTCCTCAGGGCGGGGTTATAAGCAACCCCTTCCTTTCACTCTAATAAATTACATTCATTACAATAAATTAACACAACACAACACTCGATAGAAACATAAAATTCTCGTCATATTCACTCCCCCAGAGTACTCGGTATTCCTCGGGGCGGGTTATAAGCAACCCCTTACATTCACGCTAATAAATTACTTTTCCTCTCCAGAAGTCATACACTCACCCCAGAGTACTCGATATTCCTCGGGGCGGGGATATAAGCAACCCCTTCCTTTCACGCTAATAAATTACATTCATTCCAATAAATTAACTTAAAGTCAAACACAGACACAACACAAAAACACATAACAAAACTATACACATTTAAAAATCCCTACAGCCCTGAGGTACCGGAACAGCGATCTGTGCCCGCTGCCGTGCCCCAAGTATACGCACAGGTCCGATGACATGCCAAAATATTGTCTATATACATCAAGCCTTCTACAATTGAAAAGGTGCTCGACCGTTATTCTATCCTTGCACAACGGGCACTTACGCGGTCGCTTTCCGGCCAGAAGATGTCCGTGAGTTATTCCTGTATGACCTATACGTAGTCTGTCAGTATGGCCTTTTTATTTTTCGAACCGTTCTCCGTGGACCAGGGACCGACTTCTTTTTCAACCTGCCAACGTTTGGCAGGGTTATTTCTATTTCTACGAGCCGAGCGGTTTAAATCGTAACAATAAACAATTCATATTTTTGATATAGTTAATATCAGTCTTCAAAATTATAATCTTAGATTAAAAATCAGGTTTAATTTAAAAGAAAACATTCATTTCCTTCTTCAAGGTTTTAAGAAATACATGGAATTACGCTTCAAAACATAGGTTTCAATATAAATAACAAAATGTATTCCAGTCACTTTTTAAATTAATGTAGATTAGCTATCACAATATACTAATTGTGGAGTTCCATCGGGAGGTATTTTACTAAAATTTTCTGATAAAATATTGGCATTCGCTGATGGCATTTCTATACATTTTTTCTAGCAAAATTTATGATGTTATACTAAAAAATATCAATAATGGAATATTGTAATTGTGGTTAAAAGTGTAAAACTAAAATAATAGTGTGTCAGATTATAAACTTTTCTAATGAAATGAAATATTTGGCGATAAGTTTTGGTAATATATTTAAATTTAGATTTTACATTGATGTTTTGATTTAAAAAAAAATTTAGAAAATTATCTTATAAATATAAAATTTTAAGAAATATTTCTCAGCCAGATTTAATGAAGTCTGTTTATCTGGTATTGACACAATCCTTGGTAGTATATATCATAGTTTGGGTAAGTACACAAAATCTATAATTTCTTTGTTAATTATTGCTCAAAATTTTATAATAAAAATATTACTAAATAAATATAGAATGCACAACAAAATTTACATTGAATTTAAAGTTCAAAAGTCAAACAATTATTTCAGATGTACTCAAGTGTTCATATGAATAAACATAAGCTTGCCTATTATGGACTTAAAGTACTTTACAAAATCAAATATTTTAATAAAATAAATGAATTTGAGCCTAACGTAAACATAACATTATAATGAAATAGAAGTGTAAATAGAATATTGACTTGACTTAGTTTGGGGCTGAAATGACCCAGATGTCGGAAGCCCCAGTAAAAAAAAAAAAAAAAAAAAAAAAAATTCATTCTTCACGACAAAATTGATATAAATTCTTTTTCCTCTTATATTAAATTTAAATTTTTTTTTATAATTAAATAGAAAACAATGTAATTAAAAAAGTATATATAATAATATATATTATTAAAGGAGAGAAATTTTTTTGATTGTATTACATATTAATACAATAATTATTTAAAAAATTTCACAAAAAGACAATACTCAAATAAATCGTAAGTATACTGGCTACCACTAATTTGTTCTAATTTGTTTTAATCTATGCTTTGTTCAAATTTGGTAATGCATAGGTTAGCTAATAGTTAATGTAATTTGTGAGCCGACAACTCCTGCTCTCATACAGAACTTAAACTTACAGAAAGCAGGCAGTTTATTAGAATTCAGAACCCGAAATACTTTTAAATGGGATTTTTTTGCAAATACACCGATACCCCGAGGGTTGATATGACTTTTGAATTGACGTAATGTCGAAAAAAGATGACTACAACATTTTTTTTAGCGTTTTGCTAATTTAGTCGGAAGAAAACCAAACTGATTATTAACAACTTTATTATTTTTCCAAAGAAATTTAATTAATCGAATTATGATACATTTTCCATGATTTTTTTCTTTAGGATAGGGATAAAGAAATGGGTCGATAGTTGTTGGTATCTAATTTTGATTTTGTAAATAATGGTATAACATTATATTCGTTTAAAATATACCCCAGTGAAGGATATAAATTAAAAGTATAAAGAAGCGGAGGATTGACATAGGTTGAAATCAATTTAAGTAGACGGTTTGTTAATTGGCCGACGTTTCGAAAGTATTACTTACTTTTTCAATTGAACTTGAACGCCTATAAACAATAATCGGTTACCCAAAAAATTATATTAGATCATAATATATATATACATATAAACTCACTTCCTTCGTCAAGCTTTCAAGGAATGTATGCCCTTCATCAGGACTTTGATGATTTTATTTACATAATTTTATATATATATATATTTAATTTTTAAATATGTAATTATAGTATTAAGGCAATAATTTGACCATATTTATTATTTTATAGAATTACAAGCATTTTACTCTACTTAAATATATAAGCATGAGACCTAGCGAGTATCTGTTCCTTTTTTTGGATCATAATATCAAATGACATTAACATACATTACATACATTAATTACGGTCATTTCTCTCTTTTATTTTTTATTTATTTATTTTTGTTTGACAGGGGCTTTGGACATGTAGGTCATTTCAGCCCCCAACCCGAACATACACTCATACGCTCTCAACGTTCGATGGGCGATGATGACGTTATATTTCACCCTCACGCCTCGCCATTCACGCTAATAAATACATGCACTCAGACAAAACATATAGACACATTATACATAAGACATATTATATACAATTAAAAAAAAAAATTTCCCCCAAAAAGCGGAAGAAACTCGCTATAGTGCTCGAGTACCATTTTAACATAGAATGGCATGCCTACACGCTCCCTGTAGGGACAATAGACATAATTTCCAAAATAAACAATTACTAAAAAAAAAGTCATCACATTTTATTTAATGCTTAACAAAAGTTTATAAATTATAGAAACTTCAGCAGTGTTTGCTCGTACCTTGTTATTGTCATATCAGATCTTAGCCTTAAAAATGATCAAAATTTTCCAAAACGCATTAAAAAAATACATATAAGGCAAGAACAGGCGGACAAATATGTCTGCCATTACATTTTAAAAACGACCCCACAACTATACTTCTTTTTTATTCATCTTCTTTATTATATACACACAATGGTAATAAAACGTGTTTTTTCGTTAAAATCAAACAGAGTTCCAACCAAATTTTAACGAAAAGCTGAGTTTTTTGTGATGGCTTGATTCTGGAGGCTCTAAATCTGTATTAACAAGGATTGAATTTTAAGCTTTCACACGGTTGCCTTGCACAGTACTCAGTAAATACTTGCGATTGTTAATTTTTTATGATTATTAAACTTTTATGACTTTTGATACAAGCCGATGAAAATAATTCCAGATAATATGTGACTTCTTTTTAAGGAAACGTTACCTCGACAAATGTCCTATCGTGTGCGTAAGCGGCGGCGGTCAGGAAGACGCAAGTTGCCAACCAACAGGGCACCATCTCGACGACTAGCTTCCAGGTTCCAAGCCGTTCAGAACCCCTTCCTCCTTCTTGGCCGACACCCCCACCGTCTTGCCTATTCGTGAAAATCACTCACCTATAACGCATTTGAAATTATGCCAGGTAGCGATCCTTATAATCAGTTTACGTTAAAGGTCAGGGTTCGGTGTGAGCATTTATTCATCTTTCTTTAATGGGATTTCACTGATTGAACGAGCATGAATGAGGCAATGATATGATAATAATATACTTTTGTGTATAAAATGAACTAGACACTCAAACTCCTCCGTAATGGATTTTGCCATACATAATTATTCAGTCTGATTCGCATCGATCTGCACGAAATTTATAATAAACATATCAACTTACGATCATCGACGTAGCCTCTTCATTTAAATATGTGAAAGAAATTTGAATGATCTAAGAGACAACAAAGACCTCCAAGGGACAAAATGAGCTCACATCATGCAGGTCAGTTTCTGCTACCATTATTTCCCCTTATAATTGTTCATTCTTAAAATGCTGTTGCTAATATTGAAGAGGAACGAAAAATTAATACCTGACCTATTTAAAATCGTAACATCGACAGATCAGGTGCGCCATATCAAATGTTAGTATACCAAGGCTAAAGGAGTCATATAATAAGACCAAAAAAGCTCTTCTCACCTCAATATGAAAAACCGTGAATTATAGCGAGAACCTATGCGGTGATTAAATGCAAACGCACATTCTACAAGTTGTAAGAATTTTGAGGGTTTCGATGTTATAAAAATGTTTCTTATGACGTTTCAGACCATTTTGGTCTGCCACCCTAGCTACTCGTCATAGTCAGTCTATTTGGTTAGACTGGTCAAACTATGTCGGCAAGAATGCCACCAAGGCTGCTTACAATATTAAACAGTTGGAGCTTTCTTGCAGGATTCACCCATAATTTCATTCAAAACATTCATCAAAGGACTGTAAAATCGAAAAACAGAAATAAAGAAATAAACTGCTCAAAAATGAATAGGGATATTTGTAATTTATTCTTATTCCATCAATTTTAATTAAATTAACCAATATGTTCTTATTGATTGGATAAAACAAACTATAAAACACAAACCAAAAAGAAACAAATGTTAATCCACATTTTTAATATTGGATTTACTTTAGAATATTAAAGATGAAGATTACTCATTTTGTAAACAAACACCTTTTCTCGTCTTTTCTCCACGAAAGACATCGTCTTGAACAGAAGATCGCAATATTATTGTGAAGATGGATCATCGAGGCCACCGGCAAGTGGATATCGCAGAGGCATATGGCGTTTCCCAGAGTATGGTCTATTGGGTTTTAGCCCGTTTCCTGGTAGTGGATCTCAGCGCATTACGCCGTTAGCAGGGCAGGAATATTCTTATTGCTGCAAGACGGAACCCTTTCCAAAATGCCTGCCACATCCTAAACGAAGTAAAAGACGTTTTAGCAAGGACTTTATCAATACAAACGATTGTGGGAAGTTGGCCTCATATCGTATTCCCCTTTGAGATGACCTGCCTCAAAAGCCCGCTACCAGCAGTTCAGGAGAATATGGTACATTGCTTCCCGTATACTTGGTCGTCCTAAAAAGGACAAGGAGGATCTTTGACGTCCGCGCCTAGTCTATTCGGCCTTATCGGACGTTTCGATTCTCAAGCTGAGAGCTGACGCACCTCCGCATACGACGGAAGGGTGTTATTGCCGCAGGGTTGGTGTAGAGGCAGCTCAGCCCCGATGGGCCAAGACAACCTCGCTCTCCGCTAGCCCATTCCGAGTGGTCGGGTCCGCATTAAGCATGGAACTGTATGCCGTGCGCAAAGGGCTACCTAAGCCGAAATACATCAGCCTGGTCTCCCGCGCACTCTCTAGATTGAAAAGGCCACTCTCTCCCAGAGTATTGGGGCTTCTCTAGCGTAGAAACTACCGGCCGCGGTTTTATTTAAAGTGGAATTGCTAACCACCCCCTAGAGGAGACGGCCTACGGTAAGGGCCTCCAATCGAGCTCAGCCTACACCTACGTGAAAAGCATACTCGAGTAGGAGCAACCGATTCACTACCCGTTGCCATACGCCACTACTCACGCATTCGAGGGACTTTTCCGCAAAATCATAGCGTCCTCAACGCTGCCGTCCGATCCGCTGTATCCCGTGAGGACGGGAATATAACGATGGTCATGCGCAATTTTCGTGCGAAGGTCACAGATAGAAGACAGCTTCTTCTCTAAGTACCCGCCATGGGTCTCACCACGGCCAACTACTAGTCCATTCCCATTGTAACAGAGGCTGAATCTTGGAACATTTTTGTTACTCCGTAGTACAGATGGTAATGCATCCTCCCCCGTCTATGCAGATAGGATCTGGTTCCTTAACCCTTGTGTACCTCTGATACGGCAACCGCTGCCCCATGCCGACCCGAGGCCGACTCGAGTAAAGCTTGTGCTTTAGAGAGGTTGCCAGCCCTCAGGGCTACACCATTATTTTGCGCCCGGACCCCCCCCCCCCCCTTTGAACCAAGGTTGGGAGGGGTCACAGGAAACAATGAAGGAACCTTGAGTGAGAAAGGGACGTGAATGAGGACAAGAGGTACCCTTTCTTGGGGTCCGAGCCTTAACCACATTGTACCACCCGTCGTCCTCGTAGTTCCACATTAGGGGGCCACGACTCCCTGGGTGGATAGAATATGGTGCAGCGAGCGCCTAGAAGAGAACACCACTTCGAATGCGGTTATGTTTACTGATGAGTCCCGTTTCTATCTGTATAGTGATAGCAGGCGCCGAAAAGTACCGATAACAGGGGATGCGTACAATGCCCCAGTTCGTGCTCCCTTCAGTGCAGTTGGAGGAGACGGTGTAATGATCTGAGCTGGGATTTACACTCGAGGTGGAACTGGACTACATATTTTTGAAGGTAACCGCACCGCAGTCCGTTATGTCCAATAAATTATTGAGGAATTCATCCTCCAAACCAGGGATCTCATTGGCAGGGACTTCCGATTTCTGGAGACAATGCCAGACCTCATTGAGGCAGAGTTGTTCATCGATGTATAGAAAACAATTTCCCATAAGTCCCTTGCCGTAGTGTTCAGATTTCAATGCCATTGAGCATACGTGGGATGTGTTGCAGAGAAGGCTTTTTCGAACACAATCCTCAGCCTGTTGATCTGCAACAACTGAATGTAATGTTCCAACATCTGTGAAGTGAAATTCCTTATAAAATTAGTGGCAACCATATTAAAAGTATGCCTAGCAGGTGCACAGATGTTTTAGACAACAGAGTATATGCACGGTATTAGATGTTTAAAACAAAATATTGCGTCCAATAAACAAAATTATGGAATTAAAATCTTTTATTTTGTTATTTTGCGAAATCCCTTAATTAACTATTCCTCCAGTAAAAACATTTAAAGCAAGAAAATAAAATAAAAATACTAGGGAAAGTAAATACTTCAAAATTGGCAATATCTCTACTCATTTTGAGCAGTTCACATGTCGAGTGTACTTCTCCAACAATATCACATTCAAGTTTTTAAATTCTGTGCGCCGTCGAAAGTACCTTACGTTGGTTGAAGAAAACAATTCGAGGAAAAAAAGGAGAAGGGAACATCAAGGGCAGGGTTACTTATTTCATAGCAAGCTTATCCATTGCTCCAGCCTGCGAGCCAATGGTCTCATTCTGCTTCCGTCAGGCCACCCGGTTAACTGCCGTTTAACCATGGTTCTGCTGTTTTACACTAACCCCGTCATTAATCGCAGCTCTGAGCACCTATTCTTCTTATGTGCTGCACTTTATTATTACGTTCGCTTCGTAATCAACCATTCTTGCCATAAATCACTCGGTCTGCTCAGCCTACTTAGCTTTAGACGTTGACCGGGTCACCGGACGATGATTTATCTTCAACGTTTTTTTGGTTCCGTGATAAGTTCGCTCACCCATCTGGAGTGGCATCCCAGGTGCATTGTTGATATGCTTGCTTAAGTGTGTGTGAATTTAAAAAAATGAAATATACATATTTATAAGTGCAAATTTACATATCTATGTTATTATGTTTAGTTCAGATGTGTTTGTGTAGTTAAGGCTCAATTTATTTTGTATCTATTTACCTGGCTAAATATATGTTTTATCAGACTTTGCGTAGAACTAACGTTTTGTTGTTATAAAAAATAATGTGTGGTGATCAGTGACCGTTAGGCGATGATTATTCGGAAATCGTGAGATGCGGTCTGCTGTGACGTAGGTTTCAGAAAAACCTTTTCTTTATCGTGCCAACGTTTCGATCTTTATTGAGATCATCTTCAGTGCCTGGGATTTACAAACATTGTTTAAATTTAACAAATACATTTTCACATCCTACATGTATTTGTTAAATTTAAACAATGTTTGGAAATGGTTGTTGTTTTAAACAATCCCAGGCTCTGAAGATGATCTCAATAAAGATCGAAACGTTTTTGATTGAATAGATTGAAATGTTTTTCTGAAAGCTACGTCACACCAGACCGCATCTCACGATTTCCGAATAATTATAAAAATTAAGAAAATTGACTTATCTATGATCCTTTCCCAATGTTCCAGTAGTCTTTCGATGAGTACGATTCTATGATAAATTTGAATTTCGATCCTGCCAATATACCCGCTTCATGGCCATCCCGGATTGACGGCATGGTAGATGTGCGGTTTCACAAGGCAAAAATAAAATCCTGCCAATATATATAAAATTATAAGTGAATAGATGAATATTTTAAATCACCCCTGTTATTCTTTTTCAAAGTTCTTTGATAGATAAGGGTAGTAAAGGATGCTGAAGGGATTTCTAATGAAGGTACGTCAAACCGCAAAAATAAGAGAAGTATGTATATTACTAGACAACTTTTATATTCTTATAATAAATTTATTAGTTATTTGAGCAATAACTTAATCAAATCGATAATTTCTCCTTGCCGTGAGTTATGAATACAACCGGGGATTTAGCTTAACTTGTACAACGTATGCATTATGAAACAAAACATAAAAATATTACGAAA